TCGCAGCTCCAGCAGAAGAATGGGATGGCCGACACATCGATTCGCTATACTCTATCAGGCAGGCAATCCTGAAAGAGGAGGCGGAGACCAGTATTAACAACTGATGCTAAATAAACTGTAGCAGGAGGCGGAGGCTAAGTAAACTGTAGAAGCGGAGATCCAAACGAAGTGACAGTTGATGACAACTGATGCGAAGTAAACTGTAGTTACTGTAGCGGACATCCCAACCAAGTGACAGTTGATAAAGCCGACCAGCCGCCAATACAAGGGCAACATAAACGACAATCCTTCCTTTCTTTCTTTCCCCCCCCCCCCAACTCAAACTGAACTCATTAGGAATGGCCATACGTTTCCCCTAATCACCCAGCTGAGACTCCAATCTATATCTATTTTTATTTTTATTTTTTTTTAAGGAAAACAACCCGAGAGGGTGCTAGGGGTGCTGGTAAGAGCAGACACCGCTAGCACTCCCGGGGAGGCTCCATCTATTGGTGGGACCTCGCACAAACCACAAACTTTTGCAGTCCACAAATTCCAAAAAGAGAAAACTTCCAAAAAGGGCAACGTCCTTGAGATATGATTATCTAATTGGCCAGCCTCAGGTAACTCAGAATTAGCATTTTTTTTTTATTTTTTTTTTTACTCATCTAGTGCCATCATGATCTGGGTTCGAGCTCAGGTCTGTATTTCGACAGTGCATGGGTGTGGTCCCCACTGAGCTCGCCCAGCTGGTGTCAACAAGTTTTTGAGATTGTAGCTCAGGCTCAGGAGACATATTACATATTATTCAGGAGGAAGCACACTAACGACAAACCTGCTGCCACTAGCGACAAACCTGCCGCAATTAATGATAAACGTTCCTCCATTCAGGTGCATTATACATTTTGCAAACAGGACTTGCTCCACTAGGCACCATTGCAAACGTATCGGGTTCTGCTTGCTGTCCAGATACATTCAGAATGTTTCATTAGTCCGAATGTATCTGGATCACGACCAGCCCAGACACGTTTTGAATGCTGTCTAGTGAAGCGAGGTACCATTACAAAACATCATAACTACCACTATGATGTCCCAATCGTTCACGTCACATGCGTTCAGACAATGCGAAAATTCCTTCCTACCACCAGGAGACAATCCCTACCCCCCCCCCCCCCCCCCAAAAAAAAAAAAAAAAAAAAAAAAAAAAAAAAAAACAATCCCACCCTTTCAAAGCCCTAGATGACAAATGCTCGATCGTCCCTCACACCGTTTCAAAAGGAGATAGTCCCAACAGGTGACAGATGGCCTTTCTTCACACACACACAATCAGATATCCCACCCTGCAACCCCTCTGAGCTCCCCCCACCCACACAAAAGGAGATAGCCCCAACCCCCCTGTCAAAGCCTGAGGGGAAAAAAAAAATAAAAAAAAAAATGTCCTTCGGTACATCCGTTAAAATTGGAACGATACAGAGAAGATTAGCATGGCCCCTGCGCAAGGATGACACGCATAAATCGAGAAATGGTCCAAATTAAAAAAAA